ATATGTGCGCCCAGGCATGGCAGCCGCTGACTGCACTGCCGTGCCAGTTTGGCGAACCCGTTACGGAAAAAGATTGGCGGGTAGTGAAGGAAAACTTTCCCAGCTGCCCCTAGCTCGCCCTCAGATGGCTTACTTAACTGGAGGTCTTTCTTTCGTTCGGAAAACAGATAGAAAGACGCCATACGAAGCCAAACATGCGGCGGTTGTTTAGGATGAGCTTGTCTCCACGTCCTTGGCATTGCTCGGTTATCGCCGTTGGAGGTCTGCTGTTCTCCCAGACCTTTCCCAGCCCGTCATGGCCACGGCCATCGCTGGCTTTAGTGACGTGATTTAACCAGCAACAGACTGAGCTCATGCCAATGCATGCATCACTGAGAACAGCTTTGAATCTGAATGTGTGTCGTTGGAACCCTCGCGGCTGTAAGGACCTGTGCGCGGACCTGGATGACGGTACGCTGTCTTAGGTGAGCCGCCAGAGGGCGCTCGTCAGACGTTTTGAGCTGTGGCAAGGGACGACCACCATTCGCCATGTTTTCTCGATGATCTGTTGAAAGTTCAGAGCAAAAACGATGAAATTTTCCAAAACTACGCAGCACAACGCACGCCATTCAAATACAGTTAAGTCCTTTCATTTAAGCCCTTCCGTAACGTACAAATGACTGCGGACCGAAGCAGGCAGATCCCTGGTTTTCATACCGCGTCTAGTTAGGCGACGAGACCCACTTCCACCTGAATGGGGCAGTAAACACCCAAACCTGTCGGATTTGAGCCCCAGAGCTGCCCGACACCGTACTGGAGGGCCGCTTGCACAGCCAAAAGGCGACAACGTGGTGCACCATTAGTTCGAGCAGCCTCGTTGCATCCTTTTCTTGCGACGTGCAGACGGCTCCACGGCCACGGTCAACAAAGAGCGAAACATCGGTATGCCGGAGCGCTCCTGGAGACAGCTGGAGCGAGACCTGGGGGCAAAACGGAAAGCAACTGGTTTCGCCATGGCGGGGCGACCCTCCACGAGCCAAAGATGGCCTTGACATAGCTAGAGGAACGCTTGGGAGCTTGCGTTATCATCCGAACGACTGGCAACCCATGGTCAGCGCACCCTACGGATCTGTGCCTCTCTAGATCGTCTTTATGGAGGCTCTAAAAATGGCTTGTCTACAGAAAGAGCCATCAGGGCCACGGTGGCCTTAAGAGGGTGATGAGCTAGCTGGCGCACTAAATCAGACCTACCACATGCGGCAAGGCTATCAGTAGGTCGGCAGGGCGCGCTGATATCTGCCTGCTGCGAAAAATGTCCCCCGCTTGGCAAGCGCCTTGACACGCGCCCGGGTGGCCGGTTGGACAGATACCCTTCACTCGGGTGGGGGTCAGTCTGACTCCCTGAGATCTCAAGAAATAAGAGAGCTAGAGACACCGAATTCTTAGAGTGTATTGATCTGTTCGTGAACTCACTTGGGCAAAAGTTTAACGTTCCTAGGTCATGACTTTCGGGTCAAAAAAGATCAAACAAGATCAAACACCAAGCTGGTCTCCAAAGTGTTTCCAGAACCTACTCTAAGCAAAAGATTATATGCATATTTCAGGCCAGTGACCTTCTTTTATCTCTCGAAGGTCATGGTGACCAAAATCATAGAAGACTGCTTTGAGTGTTTCATTTTAATAAGCGACAAAGATTACGCTAGGCAGTACGTTCTAAAAAAAAGCGTGACCTGGATCACTTTTGACCAGTGACCTATTCTGATCTTCAAGAAGTCCATGAAGATGTCTTATGAAGTTCCCATCATCAATCAAGTCGAAATGAGCACCAGAAACTATCTCATATAGCAAGAGAATGTGTTTGCTTAAAAAATATCAAAACCAAGCGCGGTACTTAATTCCAAGGTTGGTTCCGGCCAGCCAGTTTACGTCGGCTCGCCAGCTAGGCCATGTGATCAGCTGATGACTTGTAATTTATGCAGATGTCTTTCTATCAGTTTTCCAAACAAACAAAAAACACCTTCAGGAAAGTTAGCCATCTGAGGGCGAGCTAGGGGCAGCTGGGAAAGTTTTCCTTCACTACCCGCCGATCTTTTTCCGTAACGGGTTCGCCAAACTGGCACGGCAGTGCAGTCAGCGGCTGTCATGCCTGGGCGCACATATTGATTAGGTTGAATAAAGAGTTGCAGGCAAGGGCAAAATGTTCAAGGTGCCTGTCTATCTAGGTTCCATGCTGATAATTTGAACGGTTTGTAGTTACGAAAATGAAGGTATTATTTTTCAACGCCACCCATTATCCCCGACTGTTCAATGCCTTACACACGAACCCTGTGGTGTATCTTGAGGCACTGCCCGGCGAGGATATTTTATCTCGGCCTCTCCACTCGCAAATATTCTAAGCATCGATATCGAGGGATTTTGCGCGCAAATGTTTGCACACGACACATTGCTATTACTTTTGCGCTTGTTGGTATTTAATTTGTAATACTGATGGCTTATTCCAATTTAATTCTCTGGCAATCTTTGGCACTCGTAATGCAAATCATGGGTAGTATAAATCTTGGGCTTGCATCTTTTGCTCACGATTTTGGCGTCCGGGTTCTGCTCCGGTACCACAGTACGATTTTTTGTTCTTGGTTCACTTCATATGGTTGCTTGCTATTTGATCGTTGATGATGTTTTACTGCGCATCCATCTTCCCTGCAGTTGCAACTACCTGCATGCATGTGCCAAGTCTAGGCAAATCGCAAAGCCTGAAAATCTCACATAATAAGCTTTCAGATCATCTTTTCAGCAGCGTGTTTTGAAAACGCGTCTTGGCAACAGCATAACCATTGTGTTTGTGCGATGCCATGACCTTTTGTCAATTGACAGACACAGTGCTAATACTTAAAAAGATATTGCTCAGATGTAGTTACATCCTCAACGACCAGTTAGATCGCGATCAAACGTCCAGCGCTTCCTTTCTGTCAGCGAGTTCCGCGAAGGGAGACTGGTGCAAGGTGTCTGTCCCTGTTTGCCATCATTCTCCCCTCTACCAGCTCTCTCCTCTCTTCGCCATGTTCACTGCATCCAGTATCTTTATTTCATCTGTGCTATCCGTCTGTCTCTCCCTGGGCTTTGCAGTCCTCTTGTTAGAAGCATCGGGGGACATCCCAGTTAGAAGACCTCAGCGTTCAACAGATGCTTCAACAGATTGGGTGCACCAAAAAGCTCAGCTACTGGATTTGTTCGGGACAATTGATAACTGCTAGTAAAATGGCACAACTTTTCAATCGCACCAAATTTCGATCAATGGGAATATTTCCCTTTTAGTGATTCTCGTGGACGGAAAGGCGTGAAAGAGCGGATCGCGATGTTCCAAAGCACCGCCGTTCCTTCATAACCGTGCGTGACCCTGTCAGGCACATGACTGCCATAGTGAGCATATTGGAATGAAGATTGCAGATATTGGCCCTTAAAGACATTTCAGCGTCGGGAGCCAAACTCAGCCAAAGGGAATGACGCCACACGATCGAACCTTATGCTTGCTTCCGCACCTTCAAAGATGAAACATCCCTTTAAATCTTTTGTTTTCGCAATACGGTTTTGCGGCTTTCCAAAACATGACAATCGTTGTCCATAACAAGATCAAGATCACCCGTGGATTTGCTTGTAACACGGTAAGAAAGAGCATGGCCGTACATCCGTATATTAACAAAGGAAGCGTAACAAGTCCACTGAAAAGCAGGGCTCGTCCGGGATTTGAACCCGGGACCTCTCGCACCCTAAGCGAGAATCATACCCCTAGACCAACGAGCCACGGGAGCACCCGCTCTTTCCATAAATACGAAATGCTACGAGCACGGACGGACGGCCACCGACCCCGCAGCTCTCGTGTGCGGTAGTACTACAAGCGCGAGCACTTCCGTCTTTTTTATACAAAACCATGAATTATACTGGCCAGACGCAGCGAAACCAGAATACACAGTATACACAGGTGTCAGATGTCAGAAGCGTGGGAATATGAATAAAAATAAGGTTGATTGAGTTCGTGCTGCTAACTGGGCCAATAAGCTACAAATCACTAGACCACACAAGGTCCGGAACAACAAACTGCAAACACTGGTCTGCAGCCTTGGGTGTCATTGAAGGGGACAACCGGCACACTGTTACCGACACTAGCATGAGAGACAATTACATAAGCAGGTGATCATTTGACAGACGTGCATGAATTACACCTGACAACCAACTCATTGTCACACTGACCCTCAAAGCTTCCGTAAAAATTGGACGTCGGTTGTCTGGATTTAAAAACGTTCACACGTCTAAAATTGCCCATAATTCCCCCCCAAAACTTCTGGGGAGCAAAGGCTGAACATCTAGTTCTACTGATGAACACCCAAGTTGTAAGTTACACACATTAAAAGACCCCCCCCCCCCCCTCAAAACAAGATCTGTGCTCAGGATGATGTATCACCGAGACAAATCTGGCCACTACTTGGCAAAAATACAAAAGGCCTGTTCAGTTGGAGACCACAAAAATTGTTCATTTCAAAACACGAACCAGCCTGGCTGTCGACGCAGAACAGCATGGTGCTGACTTGCCGCCAATTATTCCAAGCCGCAAATCCCACCAACCCCTTACAAAATTACATCACAACATACAGGGCTATGAACGTGAGAAGAGCTTCCAACAACGCTGCCCACCTCGAACCGTCAGCGGCTGTCGCCTGTAAACATGACTGGCTTCGGATCGAACCGTACGAGCACATTGAGTATTACGTATGCTGAAACCAATGATACCATGCTAGATCGAAAAGGGCAAAAGTTGGCTCGTTAAATCCATCCCCCTTGCGTTACCAGTCAGATGACGCGTGCAGCCACGGCGACAAATAAGTGACACAAGAAAGAAAACGCCCGGGCTCGTCCGGGATTTGAACCCGGGACCTCTCGCACCCGAAGCGAGAATCATACCCCTAGACCAACGAGCCATGCGGGTCGCCGCCCCACAACCGAAGGCAGCGACAGGCTGTGCGATGCCTTCACTTCTCCACGCCGGGCTCGGTCTTGGTTGCCACCCAGCAATGAGTGTTTGACAACTCTACCAGCGCCATCGCGCCTACCATGCGCGAGGCACCTGCTCGGATGACGCTCGGCCGCGGCGGCGGCTCGTCCACGGCGTCCAGGTTGAGTCGGCGTTGGGTGATGGTCGGCACGTGCGCGGCTGGCGAGCCCGTCGCCGAGGCGGGCGTCTTGGCAGGACTGAGCGACAGGCGGCCACTCATCTGGTCTTTCAGACATTGGATGAACCAGCGCTTCTTGGGGTTGCGCACGGGGCTGCCAGCCAGCAGCGCCTGGTAGCGGCGGCGCGCCTCCTCACGGCGCGGGCTCTGGCGCACTGGCGTGTTCTCGTCGCTGTCCCAACCGCCGGCGGCCGGCCGGGCCGGCGCCGGTCGGCGCGGGCTCCGCCGCACCACCAGACTCAGCGGCTCGGGGAACATCTCTGTGACGGGCAATGGCCGGCGCGGCGGAGACAGGATGGCTGGCCGCGGGTGCTTGCGTGGGCTGAGCCGCAGCGGCGGCGCAGCCGGCGCCCGCGCCGCCGCTGCGGCTGCCATCTCCTGCTCCTGCTGCTGGGTCGCGGGCTCGGGCTGAGGCGCCGGCGCAAGCTCGGCGGCCGGCTCCGCGGCGGCGGCCGGCTCCGGCGGCTCGCTGTGCTGTTGCATGAGCGGCGCCAGGCCTCGCTTCAGCCGGGACAGCCGGCCGCCGTCCATCACCGACGAGCGGGTTGGTGTCTCGCACTGCTCTTTGGCCGGCAGCTTGCGGCCGCCCTTGGCTGGTGTCCTTTCCATGCGGTGACGGTAGAACCTGGCCACAGATTGCGGCCGGTCACAGCACGCTCCACACGACACGCAAAGAACGTGGTACATGACCTGGACATATTTCGCTGCCATTTCCACCCAACGGCATCATTCGCTATCCTACGTATCATCACGGATCTGGTAACCTGTCAGTAACAGGCAGCGACCACCGAATGCAGCATTAGTTTTCTCACCACTCACTTTTCTCACCATGTCCATGACTGTTATTAACGGATCCGGAACGGAGCCGTTAATAACAGTCATGTTATTGGATGAATGCGCAAGTATTTAGCCAACTAACCAATTCATTAAGCTGCAGCAACTCAGTCTGCCCCGCCATTCCTTAAACGGACTTATATCTTCATAGTGCCGTAATGTATGGTTGGTTTCTTTTCTAAAGTCGCATTTATGCAACTTTGCAACATCACCAGCAATTTTTAGACATGGAGTGAGCGAGCAAGCCTAAGCAGTCCTGTAAGTAACACAAAGACACGAGAGAGGGAAGTTCCCTGTGATAAATGCCTGCTATCCTACATATCAAGTGTTATGTGCCACTTTTGAGCAAAACATCACCGACGTGACATTGAGAAAGAGGTCATAGGTCATGAAACCTCGAAGCCAGCCTCACAATTTTCAGGCACGAAAATGACTTAAGATTCAGGGGCCCACAATTTCAACACCATGCACCGTGCCATTCAGACATTATTCCGGTAAAACCAAGGGAGGCTCTGAGCCTTACCCGCTGGCAGGGCGATGGCTAATTCATACGCCCGTCAAGATACCGTAACTGTACAGGCAATACCAAGTCCGAGTCCCTATGGTTTGTTTACTTGTAAGCACGGAGTTCGTGAACTTCTTACGAGCGCGCAAACCTATCATATTGACCAATTCTAAACACAATTGCTAGGTGCTAGGGCCATTTCATTTTCTTTAACTCAGTGCCTACTGCTTACGCCATGTCTGAACCCACCTAACTGATTCCATGAAACGACCCAAAGTGCTGGTTGGAAGGTCTTTACCACGGTGCCAACGCCAAGGTTTGAGCATAAGCCTGGTGTCACCTGGAAATAAGTGATTCGTACATTTTACAATCGGTTCTACTTATTCATCCCCGTGGGCCCAAGTCGGCGCTCACCTCTGGAACCACTCGCGCACGTCCGGCGAGGCTTCGTTCAAGATCTTGGGGCAAGGCATGCACTCCTCGGGCGGCACGCGCTGCAGCGCCGACTTGGGATGCAGACTGCACTGCCGGTTCGCGTGCGTGAAGCGGCTGCTGCAGCCTGAAGCCCAGAGGGGCGCGTCAGTCGCCTGCCTCCCGACCACCCGGTCACCGTCAGTTGCGTAGGCGTCAGCGCAACGCCAGTGATGGCGCTCCGACAGACCGCTGACAAGTAACGTCAACCACTGATCAGGAGGAAGCAGCTTACAGCTACTTTCGCTTAGCGACTCCGTTCACCGAAAACTTTGCGTGTATTACAAAAGGAAACACACGCCTGTCTCACATGATCCGCAAGACTTGCCAGAGGGGCATCTCCATTACCCACTAAAGCAACTTAACCGAAGGCCTCGCTCACATTTTCCAAATAGCCGACAAATTCGCGCGTACAATGACATCGGCAGACGCGACACGCCATGCGCTGCTCAACAAAACAACATACAGCCAACACACCGATATCGCCCAGCCAGCGCGGGGTGCCCGGCACATCGGCGTCACGCCGTGGAACGCACCTGCCGTGGAGCAGGTGAAGGGCTTCTCGCCTGTGTGCAGCCGCTGGTGGGTGTTGAGCTGTCCGCTCTGCGTGAAGCGCCGACCGCAGCCCGGGTAGTCGCACATGAACGGCCGCTCGCCTGCAGCACGGGCAGTGCACGCGCCTGATGCATGGGCCAACCGTCCATGCATGTGCTCATCCCACGCCACATGTCAACCACGCAATCGAAGCGCCCCTGAGCACTAAAGCGGGAACTATTGATAGACACAGTCACTTCCTGGCCGGACTAGCATGATACCGAAGCGAATGGCGGACGACAAAATAGTGTGCTTCCAAATCACCCACGTCAAGTCAAAATTCAAAATTTAAAGTATCAAAATTCAAGATACTTGGTGGAATGTGCCAACTTTTGTGGCTAGTGTAAGACCCATTTTTCGACTCTTCAAAATTTTGGTCTCATTTTCAGGGATATTGAATTTTGTGTTCCTTTTTGTATTCATCAGAGTTTTCTAGATATTAATTCAGTTTGCAGAGCAACTTTTGTTAAGGCTGTTTTGCCATCCTGCTTTCAACATGCATCAACATGGCACACAATGAAGTTGCACATACATATGCTGGCATCAGTAATAAGTGATGTTCCAGGACCATCCGTCATAATGAGCCACTGTCACTCGGCAGCTACGCTGTTCTGCTAAGCACATTTCCACTTAATTAATATATGGTAAGGCAACTGCAACCTCTGGTCTTCAGCTGCCCTGTTTTAGCTATGCCCTATTCCCAATGTGCCCACTGGCCAGTTATGTACCTCCTTCACACAACAGGACATGCCCTATTGTGTAAACAAATTATTGACAACAACCATAGTCCCATCCCTTGATCACATTTTCTGCAAATGCAGTGGTTTCTAATGCAGATTTTTCATACATTTTGTTGTTCATCTTGTTCTCTTTCCAGCTCAATGACCATACTATCATCACAGATTACCCCAATCCTCGCTCCTGAGCTGCAGGAGTGAGGGTTAAGGTAATATTTGGCTGGAAACCATAACACTAAGTAGTGAAATCATAGCATGAAGATATGGGTGGGAGCAAGATGTCCTTTCCTGTTTCACCTTGCAGATCTAATTTATGTTGGTCAGTCAGTGCTGTTTTGTCAGATGTTGTAACATTCATACACTGCATTTCGCTGAGATTTGCTTTTAATCAGTCAAGGCATTGTCCTGATTATCTGATTGCTCTCACAAACCCTGCCAAAGGACACAAAAACACTAAACTGTAATGTTATATTTGAAGTTAGGTAGACAAGAACCCAACCAAGCAATGATGCAGGACCATCAAATGGAAGCCACATGCTCAGTAGGGTAGTACAGCTGAAGGCAAAAATATACCTGAAGGCAAATCATGCCTGAGAAACCCTCTGAGTACCAGTTGACAGAGATTCAATTCCATAATAGGGCTGCTACTCCATGCTGATTGGTGTCATCTTCTGAGTTGAAGCATGTTGAGAAAGAGCTTGCTGGAACCAGAAATCATTTGGAGGCCCCCCACTTACCAAATGCTCACATAACAGAAACTGGATGGAAAGGGGAACCTCAAGGAGGCTCCCAACTCTTAGACATGTGCATGTCATTCAAATACCTGGGCTTTACTGCACAGGCAAGAGTATGCCTGAAATCTGCTTCAAAGAGAATACATGCATGTATCTTCCATGGAGAATGACATCTATACAAAAGCACTCAAAGGAGAAATGGACTCAGATTAAAGCTGATTATGGGTGGATCCTGCATGACCTGGGCATGAGAATGGATTTTCACAGAGTGGGAAGCTAAGCATTGAATGCATGGACAAGTTAATATTGTGATGTTGAGGGCCATCCTGAAACACACACCTATGACACCCAGCACATCATTGAAATTTGTGCTAACATGAAATTCAGCCCAGATTGTGCTGAAATTATGAACAGATGCTCTCATACTGAAAGCCACCATTTACATTAATGCTAAGATTTGCTCTCCCATTCTCAAATTAGAAGGGACCTTTTGTCACAAATTGGGACCTTTGGCAATTTCACTGCTCATATACTGTACAATGAAGGACTCTGGTTCAAGGCTGCTGCCAATATCATTTCAGTGCAGTGAAAGCCAACATTTTAAGAAATTTCAATAGTGGCTGGTTGTTCCACGAAAAAATAAAAAGATGACCAATAACTCAATTTCACCCAATGCGCCATGAAATTTTTGCAAACTGGCATTGTGCTGGAAAACACTTCCAAACATTCCAACTCCTAAGCAGGTAAGGCTAAGCTTAGCATAGTGAAAATGCACCTATTCAGTAACACAGCCTACCTAAACAATAGTCAATTACACACAAAGTCTTTGAGGTGCATTATGCATTTGTAAACTGAACACAATCAAGTCAAGAAATGTGTGACAGCCACTGACCTGTGTGAACACGGATGTGTGCCTGCAAGGACTTCTCCCTGGGAAACTCTCTGAAGCAGAACTTGCATTGTATGAGGCTCCTTGCCCTCTTTCCAACATTCTGTAGCAGTTCAATATCCTCACTCCTGGGACGACCCCTTCGGCGAAGATGGTCCACTTCACCAGAACCGGAACTCTCAGCATCAGCACTGGGGATCTTCTGGTCTGGGGTTAAAACGCTTGTCTCGAATGTCATACTGTCCGAATCGGGCTCACTCTTTGCTTTGCTGGACTGAAGTAGGTCATACACGCTGAACCCCGGCTGCACATTCAACGCATCACCAGTCACATCATGGCTAAAACACAAGTAATTCCGCAGACGCTCGGTCATCGGTGTTGAAACTTGTTCCATCCTGCCCCAGCGCTCAATTCACCACTGAGTGACACAACACTACACACACCCGTTCCAGGAAATTCCCATTTAAAGGTACCGAGGCGCGACCAGACGCCGGACTATTCCGCCAAAACGCTCAAACACTTGGCGCGCGAACGCCAATTTAAAGCTCCTCATTGGTCCGCGGTTTAAATCACGTGACTGGCTTTAAAGGAAGTGGCGTTTACGGGTACAAGAACATTTTTAATAATTTCATAAAAATATCAAAACGTGAAATATCACTGGGAGGACTTGATGTTTCTTCAAATCTGGCGCAGGAATGACGCCCTTTCGTAGTGATGGTCAGTTCGTCTGGGCATCACATTCACATTTAGATCCAAGCCCACATTTGGGATTCAACGGACTCCTCAAACTGGGCTGAAACTTTGTATACCAATGCAGTTTAATCTCCTGAGCACAATGGGCGCAACATCTCGGACCGGTATGTCCGACTTCTAGAGATATGTGAACATGAAAGATCAATAAAAAGGCGGGCTCCTTCAAGTTTTTTAACCCCGCGTGCTGGTAGACATTGACGTGGTAACAATAAACACAAAACCTTGGACCGGTACGCTGTATCAACAAAGTTATAGCTGTTCTAATGTAAAGGTCGTGAATTCAGCATGTATTGCATTTTATCATCCTTGAATCAGTTTCATACTCAATATTCAGCTGGCTCCTCAGACTGGTCTGAAATTTTATATACAGATGCGGTATATGTTGAGTCTAATGAACACACAATCTCGGACTGGTACGCTCTTTTCCCGGAGATATAACGATATGAAAGAACACAATAAAAGGTGGGGACTCCTTCAATTTCTTCCAAAACCTGTGTGGTGGTACTCATTAACCTTTTGATTACAAAACACAATTTTGGGCCGGTTTGCTGAATCAGAAAAGTCATAGTTCTTCAAATGGACGCGTGTAAATCGACTCATGAGTGCATCTACTCAGAACAGCTCCTCTGCTTAAATCAAGTACGAAGCAGATTTACACAGAATGCTGCTCCTGTGTAAATTGACTCAGATATGAGTTGATCTAAACATAAACGCACTGTTGTGTAAATCCACTTGTGAGTAGATCTGTGTAAGTGTGGCTTCAGGAGTAAACCAACTCAGATCTGAGTGGATTTACACAGCAGCGCCATTCTGTGTATATACACTCGGGAGTGGATTTAAGCAGACGAGCTGTTCTGTGTAGATCCACTCATGGCATGACATACACAGAAGCGCCATTCTGTGTAATTCCATTCCCGAGTGGATTTAGGCAGAGAGAATGCTCTGTGTAGATGAACTCATGACGTCATATGCTTACAGGCGCCATTCTGTGCAATTCCACCTGCGGGTGGATTTAGGCAGTGATGTTCTGTATAGAACTACTCACGGCGCGATCAACACGGAAACGTCAAACTGTATGTTTTGACTCGCGCGTGGATTCAAGCAGAGGACATGTTCTGGGAAGATGTACTGGTAATGTGACGCACACACGTGTGAATTACATCGTGCTGTAATGTGTACAGGAGACAGAGCGTATTCAGCGGAGAGAACTGACGAATTGACCTATGACTTGGTGAAGTAAGGCAAAAGAGTGATTCCAGCAATCAAACAAACGCGCAAAAAGCTGAAAACGTGCATCTGCCTACGCGCAGTGCGTTTTTGCATCACTTAAGTTGCACATTTGCGTACTTTATTAAGAACGTACTGTCTAAGGACACGAATGCACACATTCATATATATATATATATATATATATATATATATATATATATATATATATATAATATTCATACGCTTGTGCGTGCACGTGTGCATGTCCCAGGAAGGTAGATGCCGAACTTGTCATATTGTTTGCAAGGTACGCCATGCAGCATCGCATGCTTGTCCCACGGCGGTCCGCGGTGTGCGTCTTTTATCCAGAGTATTGGCAACGGGTGAGGGTTGCGGAGGGCTGACAGAGGGCCCATTGATGCTGAAGCCTAACCCAACCCAAAATCCTCGAAGGAAACCTTATCATTTCACGTGGACAGTGCGGGACACCAATTAAGCTCTTCGCCGCCCGTGAAGATGCTGGAGGGGGGGGGGGGGGGGAACTCCTATTACAGACCCCATTGCATCATCTTTTGTACTGGCTCTCGGTCTCGGGTGGGGCTGCGGCGCGTCACCTAAACAGAGTGCAAGGGGTGATTAACTGTGGGACCAGGACCGCCACCGATGCTCTTCGGCGAAATCCATTGGCGGCGACTGTTCAAGCGCTGGGCTGGCGCGGTGTTCGTGACCTAGTCGTCTACCATGGCAGCCTGGCTGCGTTCAGGACCCTTAATGACTCGCGGGTTCCGCTGGAGATTCGGTTCCCGTTCAACCCACGTATCGCTTCACGCCAGCGTGTCCCCCGCGCGGCAGTGATGGGCGCCCTGGGTCTGCCGGCCCCTCACCTATCGGCGGCGCGCAGGTCTTCTTTGTATTTGCACGGCGCCATCCTGCTGCCACCGACCATCACCACCCATTACGCCCGCAATGTGCTCTGCACCAGTGTGGACGGTATATAGACTGTCCCGTTGTGTAATCATTGCGTGTTGGCCGAGTCGTAACGTTTTGATGATTTAGATTTTGATAAATTATTTTATTTTTGGCCAAGTTGTGTGAACAAAGGGATGGCTGATAACGTGCGAATATGATTGCGCCGTTCAAATGTTTGAATATCGCTCCCATACTGCTATTGTCATTGCACAAGTCAACCAACCCTTTTGCTGGAATAATTTGTGATTTAAATGAACATGAATATGACCCAGTCACGAATTCCCAATGAGAGGTGTCACTGGAGCTGATAGTGATCGTGCACATACCGATGAAATTCGCAAGACATCTGTTGGGCTTCATTAGACGTATTTACGTGTACATGGGCTTTTCAAAACGCGCGCTAGTCGCCACAGCAGAGTCGGTCAGCTTTAAATGTATTCGAGTATTAAGGTCAATGACCTCTCTGGAATAATCACAGCCTTGGAAGGTACACAACATACAGTTCTGGGCAGGCAGCCGTACGAGCTTATCACAGATGCATGTCACGAGAAGTAGCAGCCATGTCATAATAGCGCAGATCTTTTACCGCATTGGAGCGGCCAGGCATGTCCAGTTATGTCAGGAAGCCTTTCTCACATGCCAACGAACCCCGCACACCGGCAAAGGCATACCCTGAGTGCTGAGATGCCCCGAAATCTACCACTCGGCACGACTATCAACGTCCTCGACTAGATTCAGTGTGCGAGCACAACCAGTGCCAAAAAACAAACATAACCAATAACAACCATGGCTGGAAAGAACGTAGACCGCACTGAGCAATTATACAACAGCGGCACGACACGCTGAATAAGAAGCCACAGCAATGCTCTTAAGCTGGTATTTTTGACAGCACATTCGCCTCAGGGGTCACTGGTCAAACATGCATCGAACAAAATTGGACATACGTTTGTATGCGTCTTCTTCACATGGGGCAAATATATCATTACCCAGTCAGTTCTCGCACATGTAAAACTGTCGACGAAGAACGCACAAAAGCCATTTAACGGGGCTTGTTAGTTCAGTTCAGCTACTTAGTTCAGGTACACGACAGAGCTATGCTCGCTCCCCGTCCTTCTGGACTAGCGAGGAGATAATGCAAGCACATCTAGGGACGCAACAAGTCGGACGTTAGCAACCATTGCTTGGTGAGCGACGCTATTTTACAACACTTATTCAGTTCGGAACCAATCAACGCAGTTAGTCAGAAACGCTTTCATTCCTTTCGGGTCTCTGGATGGGCTTGCAATAGTCATATATGTACATGAAGGTGTGTCTCGACAAACTAGCTATTCACATCATGCCATGCAAACAGGGGTAGATATCGAGCACATTCTCTACAATAGCACAAGCCTAAGAGCTCCATAGGTGTCCGGGACAAGCCAAGGTATTTCCGGTGCGCGAAGTTATGTCAAATTGATGGAACGCCGTGATCACGCGGTGCATGATGATGACGAGTTCGAAGCCAAGTACGTGGATGGTATAATCCAGCGCTCACACCATCCACCACTGCTGTTCAGCACTCTGAAGAAAAAACAAGTGAATAAAAATATGCAGCAAGACATGGAGCTTGTAGGTGAAGTCCATTAACAGCAGCTCTGAGAACTTCTCGTATTCCGACAAAAATCTCCTCGTCCTGAAGAGGCCGCAAACGGTGCTATCGTGCTCCGTGACTGTGAATGTAAATCCACGTTCAGTCAACAGATTCACGGCAACTTCCAGGTCGGATTCGGTACTCTCGGTGGCCCTCAAAACGCTATTAAGATCGTGGCGCGTAAGGGTTTTTCCGTATGAGTCCATGAAGTGCTGCCGGATGCACTCTTCGTCGGCGCCAATGGCATGATACTGGCGGGCAGTCTTCTTTGTGTCCTCAGTGCGGCCACGATTGTCTGGCTGCAGCGGAAAGCTTGCATTCGAAACCGGATGGGAATGCTTCAGTGAGATGTTCCTATCTCTAATGATGTTCTAAGATGTTCTAATCTCTAAATGCAATTATTTTTTCCAAAGTACCCAGATGCTTACGGTACAGCAGACTTTTTTGGTTCTCAGGTTTCGTATACGATGATCACCGGCCTTGCTTTCGTACTGGCGCTCACCATGAGTGCATGAAAACTTAACGAGACGGTACTTTCTGCGGTTTCTACGGCAGACGGTACTTTCTAGGTCTGCTGCAAAAGCGCCTCCTTGTCAGCCGGTCAGCGACCGACTTTGAAATGTAGTGACCAGGATCCATCTGTAGGAATTTACCAAGAGTAGCAGAACTCGACTTAAAAGCTTCCATATTCGTCTCAGCATCCAACTCACTGATACGAGCATTTAGTTAATCAAAGGAAGCAAAACAGCCACCTTTCCTTAACATAGCCATCTTCTGTCTTCTCTTCAGATGCTATGCATCTGAAAGATAGTGAAGTATGTTACTTAAAAGCACTGCCTGGTAATATCCACACACATTACTCACAAAGCAGAACCAGCTAGTTTACCAGCTGGTGTACCAAGTCGCACAAGGAGGTGGGAATGCCAGGTTAGACCAC